CGAAATCTTGGCTCACTACAACCTCCACCTCCTGGGTTCAAGCAATAAGAGACTCAATACATTTGAGGCTGGGCACAGTGGCTCACACCTGTGAGCACTTTTGGAGGCTGATTCAGGCAGATTATCTGAGGTCAGGAGTTTGAGACCAGCCTGGCCAACGTGGCAAAATCCTGTATCTACTAAAAATACAAAAATTAGCCAGACGTGGTCGCCGGTACCTATAATCCCAGCTACTCAGGAGTCTGAGGCAGGAGAATCACTTGAACCTGGGAGGCAGAGGTTGCAGTGAACTGAGATCCTGCCACTGCCCTCCAGCCTGGAAGACAAGAACAAGACTTCATCTCTCAAAAAAAAAAAAAAAAAAAAAAGCATGCAGGGGACAGATACACTGTCCATTCAGGAGAGCAGACAAGTCTGGGTAGGGGAGGAACCCAGGTAGGAGAGGGAACACAGGATGCGTTCAGTGGATCTGTTATGCTTCCATTCTAAAAACAGAAATTGACACTCTTACATTTCTTACCATTATGCTCTAAACCTTTCTTTTCTTTGAGACGGAGTTTCTCTCTCGTTGCCCAGGCTGAAGCGCAGTGGCACAATCTCAGCTCACTGCAACCTCCGCCTCCCGGGTTCAAACAATTCTCCTGCCTCAACCTCCCAAGCAGCTAGGAGTACAGGTGTGTGACACCATGCCTGGCTAATTGTTTGTATTTTTAATAGAGACAGGGTTTCACCATATTGGCTAGGCTGATCTTGAACTCCTGACCTCAGGTGATCCACCCACCTCGGCCTCCCAGAATGCTGGGATTTCAGGAGTGAGCCACTGCGCCCAGCCCTATAAACTTTTCAATATGCTTTGAATATTTCATAATTTAAAAGAAGAGTTAGATACTATTCATGCTTGCTAAGTAGGAAGTAAGAAGCCGGAAGCCATCCCTCACCCTGTGTGCCCAAAGTGGCTGACCATCTCTCTCTTTTTTTTTTTGAGGTGGAGTCTCGCTCTGTTGTCCAGGCTGGAGTGCAATGGAGTGATCTCAGCTCACTGCAACCTCTGCCTCCCAGGTTCAAGCAATTTTCCTGCCTCAGCCTCCCTAGCAGATGAGATTACAGGCACCCGCCACCATGCCCAGCTAAATTTTTTTTGTATTTTTATTAGAGACAGGGTTTCTCCATATTGGTCAGGCTGGTCTCAAACTTCCAACCTCAGGTGATCCACCCACCTCAACCTCCCAAAGTGCTGGGATTACAGGCATGAACCACCACGCCCAGCGGGCTGACTACCTCTTTATACTGGGAACAAGCTCCTCTGTTTCCTGGGTCCCCGAGGCTGCCTCCGCGTATTTGGAGCAGGGCCTCATGTGCGGTGTTGTCTTCCCCAGAAGTCTGCAAGTCAAAAGATCCTTCCTGACTCACCCTCTCCAGGCCAACCCACCACATCATCACTGCAAGAATCCCAGCAGCAGAGGATAAACTGCCCAGGGAATCTGAGCTATTAAACAAGCAATCCATCCGCAGGGGCTGCAGCGGCAAAGATTCCCTTTTCTAGGGAAACCTAAAAGTGTCTTTTTGAGTCAACAGTCAGTGCCCTGCTGGCCTTGCTGTACTTGCTGTGTGTAGAGGTCTAGGCTTCTGGAATTCTCTGCTAAGGCTGTGAGGAAGGCGGCTGACATTCCAGCTCAGCATCACCTGCCAAAACTGCTTCCCTCTTCAGCAGGTGACTCCTTCCCCCTTGAACCTGAGATGAAGGTGTTTGCTATGATCACACCTCCATGTTACTGACAAGGTATCCATTCCCCTGGCTGAGCTGAGCCTCTGTGGCCACGGGTGTCCTCTGAGCTCTCGGGCCGGTGGTGAAGGCAAGCTTGGACTGCCTCCGGACCATGATAAAGCCCCAGAACACGCAGTCCTATTTGCCGATTTGAGGCTGATCTTTGCTTATTTGACCCCCAGGGTTACCCTGAGGCTGCAAGCATGGAAGTAATACCCAGGTGGGCCCCTACACCCTCCCTCCAGCCACAGACTTGTATCATATGAGGTTCAGAATGACAAGGGTCCTGAAGGAACAGCTCTGTGGTGACTGGCTGACAATACTCTCAATATGCCTCCTCTCAGCCTTCAGGAATATTTGCCAGCAAGTGACTGAGGCTTGCACAGGGGGGTGGAGGGCACGGTCCTCTGGGCTCCTCAGCTGCTGAAATGGAGTCAACTGCGGTGTTTCTATCCATGAGCGAAACAGGTGTACAGCTATATACGCAGCTAAAAGACATCATTTCCAATTTTTTTTTTTTTTGAGATGGAGTTTTGCTCTTATTACCCAGGCTGGAGTGCAATGGCACGATCTCGGCTCACTGCAACCTCCGCCTCCTGGGTTCAGGCAATTCTCCTGCCTCAGCCTCCTGAGTAGCTGGGATTACAGGCACGCGCCACCATGCCCAGCTAATTTTTTGTATTTTTAGTAGAGACGGGGTTTCACCATGTTGACCAGGATGGTCTCGATCTCTTGACTTCGTGATGCACCTGCCTCGGCCTCCCAAAGTGCAGGGATTACAGGCGTGAGCCACCGCACCCGGCCCTAATCTTTTTTTTTTTTGGGACGGAGTTTTGCTCTTGTTGCCCAGGCTGTCGTGCAATGAATGGTACAATGTCAGCTCATTACAATCTCCGCCTCCCAGGTTCAAGCGTTTCTCCTGCCTCAGCTCCCCAAGTAGCTGGGATTACAGGCATGAGCTACTACACCCAGCTAATTTTGTATTTTTAGTAGAGATGGGGTTTCACCATGTTGGCCAGGCTGGTCTCGAAACTCCCCACATCAGGTGATCCACCCGCCTCAGCCTCCCAAAGTGTTGGGATTACAGACATGAGCCACGGAGCTCGGCCTATCATTTCCAACTCTTACAATGGCTTTTGAAGAGAGCTGTTATTATTATTATTATTATTATTGAGACAGAGGCTTGCTCTGATGCCCAGGCTGGGGTACAGTGGTGCAATCTCTGCTCACTGCAGCTTCCTTCTTCTGGGTTCAAGTGATTCTCCCGCCTCAGCCTCCAGAGTAGCTGAGATTATTTGTGCCCACCATCACACCCAGCTAATTTTTGTAGTTGTAGTAGAGATGGGGTTTTGCCGTGGTGACCAGGCTGGTTTTGAACTCCTTACCTCAGGTGATCCACCCGCCTTGGCCTCCCAAAGTGCTGGGATTACAGGCGTGAGCCATCGGGCCTGGCCAGAGAGCTGTTATTATCCCCACTTTGCCAAGGAAGAAACTGAGGCTCAAAGAAGTCACATGACTTGCCTGCATGCAAGCCAAATGTGGTCTCGGAGGCCAAAGGCAGGTAGTCCCGGGGGTGGGCAGTGGGGTGGGCAGGCCTGAGCTCTGTGCTGGGCTGGTGCTCTTTTGGCCCCGAGTTCCCCCTGTTGCGGCAGCACTGACTGAGGAAAGTGAGTGGGAGGTGTTAGACTGTACTAGTTTCACAGCAGCAAATGACTGTCACAGAGGTCAAGCTTGTTCCTTGCCTGCCTTTGAATTTATTTTTTAACTACCACTCACCACAACAGAAACTGGTTATCTGCAGGTGCACAGCTATTCTAAAAGAGTGAACAGGTGTGCAGCTTCTTATTAGAGCTCCCAGGATCAGTCAGAGTCCTCCTGGCCTGCCCTCCCCCACCCTTCCACCTCTGCTGCCCCAGGAAGTCACCTCACGTGCTGGCTGCTTCACTGCTGACCTGATACCAAGGCCAGCCTACAGCCTTCCAGGGCCCTTTCCTCTCCTGTCCAAATGGGGCCAAGCCAAGCAGGTGATGGACTTTTTTTTTTTTTTTTGAGACAGAGTCTGTTACAGCCAGGATGGAATGCAGTGGCCTGATCTCAGCTCAGTGCAACCTTTGCCTCCCAGGTTCAAGCGACTCTCCTGCTTCAGCCTTCTGAGTAGCTAGGACTACAAGCACCTGCCACTATACCCGGCTAATTTTTGTATTTTAGTAGAGACAGAGTTTCACCATGTTGGCCAGGCTGCTCTCGAACTCCTGACCTCAGGTGACCCACCTGCCTCGGCCTCCCAAAGTGCTGGGATTACAGGCAAGAGCCACTGCTCTGGACCTAAAACCAGTGCTTTAAACAACTAAGAGGGTTGTTTTTCATATAACAGAATTCTAGGGCTGTTGTGACTCAAAGTTGTCGTCGAGAACCCAGTCTCTTTCCACCTTCCTGCGCTGCCGTCTGAAGCAGGTGGCTGTCAGCCAGCGTTTACTGCCTCATGGATGCAAGGCGGCTGCTGCAGTGCCAAGCCTTTCATCTGCACCAAGGCAGGAAGAGGGAGGGCAAAGGACTCAACGCAGAGCTGGCTAAGTCTCTCCCCTTTTAGAAGACTGTGTCGGTTCCTCTCGAAGTGATGTCCATTTATGTCTCATTTGCCAGAACTGGGTCCCTGGACACCCTGAACTGCAGGGAAGCCTGAAAAATCAACTTAAACAAAAAGCTGGTCACACTGACGCCCTGAGAACAGGCTTTGAGAAGGAAACTAATCGCTTTTCCTCAAAGAAATAATTTGGAGTGGGGACAATGAGACACCCCTCCCCCAAACTGCTTTCTAAGGATGGTGGGCCCAGAAGAGCTCAGAGCCTTTGCTGCTGGGTGGGGTGAAACTTGGGGTCAGACCTGAGTTGCAGAGGTCTAAGAAGAGGCTGAGCTGCGTCTCCTCTGGTGACCTTCCCAGTTCTTCACCCAGCCTGCAGCTTCTCCTTGAAATCAAAGCTGAACCCATATTTTAGAGTGTTCTGTTTTTCCCACCAATGTGTTTCTGATTGTAAATCTCTTACGAAAGCTAAGTGGGGAGATGTGTGTGGGGACTCAGGGCACACACAACCCTGAGGGCGACCCAGAGCCGTGTGCTTATGGGCTAGGGCCTCGTCCAGATCCAGAGAAGAATGAATAGAACATTATGTTTATTGGCCATTCATATTTATTCTGGAGATTTCTTTTATGTTTTGTTTCAAATTTAAAAAAATAGAGCTTTTTGCAATGGCAGTATCGTAGCCGATGAGGTTTATCTGAGGCATGATTATTTTTAATTGAAAACTTTTCCCAATACCCCGCCATGATGACTTGAAATATAGTTGGCATTGGCAATTTTTGGCAGTCTCTACAGGGACTGAATAAAAAAAAAAATAGGAGGTCTCACTATGCTGTCCAGGCTGGTCTCAAACACCTGAACTCAAGTGATCCTACAGCCTCAGCCTCCCAAAGTGCTAGGATTACAGGAAAGAGCCACCATACCAGGCCTAGTCTGAAGATTTCTTCCAAACATGAAGTATTATCTTTCTTTTATTTTTATTTATTTATTTTTTGAGACAGAGTCTCACTCTGTCGTCCGGACTGGAGTGCAGTGGTATGATCTCAGCTCACTGCCATCCCGCCTCCAGGTTCAAGCAATTCTCCTGTCTCAACTTCCTGAGTAGCTGGGACTACAGGCACATGCTACCATGCCCGGTTAATTTTTGTATTTTTAGTGGAGATGTGGTTTCACCATATTAGGCTGGTCTTGAACTCCTAACCTCAGGTGATCCGCCCGCCTCAACCTCCCAAAGTGCTGGGATTACAGGTGTGAGCCACCTCGACCGGCCCTATCTTTCTTTTAGATTTGTCAGAGATCTCTACATATTACAGAAATCAGTATGTACACAGTGTATCAATTTAAAGGGGTACCAAATGATTGTGTCAGGATTCCAGGCTGAGGTTGCATTCAGGGGTGGGTCCTGTGCTCTGCAGGAGGATGAAGTCCCCGCCCACAAAGCCCCTCTGGTGGAGGTCAGACTCCTCCTAACCACACACACACAGTAATCACTCTTAGATTTACAGTCAGAATTGGAGACATTGAGACATTTTTAAAACATGGTGCCAGGCTCGATGACTCACGCCTGTAATCTTAGCATTTTGGGAGGTCAAGGAGGGCAGATAACAAGGTCAGGAGATCGAGACCATCCTGGCTAACATGGTGAAACCCCATCTCAACTAAAATATAAAAAATTAGCCAGGCGTGGTGGTGTGTGCATCTGTAGTCCCAGCTAGTTGGGAGGCTAAGGCAGCAGAATCGCTTGAATCCGGGAGTTGGAGGTTGCAGTGAGCCAAGATCGCACCACTGCACTCCAGCCTGGCAACAGAGCAAGACTCTGTCTCAAGTAAGAAAACAAAACAAAAACAAAAACAATAAGATAACAGGGCGGGCAAGGTGGCTCATGCCTGTAATACCAGCAATTTGGGAGGCCGAGGCAGGCGGATCACAAGGTCAAGAGTTCGAGACCAGCCTGACCCATATGGTGAAACACCATCTCTGCTAAAAACACAAAACTTAGCCAGGCATGGTGGCACATGCCTGCAGTTAATTTAAATTTTTATGTTAAAAAAAATAAAGAAAAAACAGGATCGTCCAAGTTGAAATATACATTTCCACTGTCCTTCAACAAATCAGGATCCCCCAGCCCCACAGCAGCCACCCCCTGCAGCAGCGGCCTCCCTTACACAGAAATACACTTCCGGTTCAGCCCAGTTCCCGTCACCCCCAAGACTAGGTTCCCCCACACTCACATCGCCCCAGCACTGTTGGCTCCCTTATTCCCAATGTATTTTGCACACTCCTGTTACTGGAATTCGAGTTTGCCACACTGTCTAGAGCAAAGCCTTCAGTTTATATACAGACAACGAGGAATGGTAGTGGGACTTGCCCAAGGGCACAAAGCCTATGCTGGTACAGCCAAGCCTTCGGTGGGTTCTCCTGGGACCCAGGCTCTCCTGGGGATCAACTAACACTTCAGACCCCAGGGACTGCAGAGCCTGGAGGAGAGAAAGGAAATGTGACTCGTGGTGGGGTCACTGGGTTGCATCTAAATTTGCTGACATTGGGCTGTGGCACAGGAACTCCTGGCCCCAAGGGAGATGGCTAGTTGTCTGGGCATGGTAGGCCTGCCTTACCCCATGCCCTGTTCCCACGGGGAGAGAAGCAGCAGCAGCAGCGGTTGAGGTGAAAACCAGAGGTCGAGCAGCCCTGGGGGGCAGAGGCAGCCACAGACAGCTGCAGCAGGCTGGGGCATGGCCCACAGGCACCCTCCACAACCTTCTGCAAAAGTTGCTGTTATGTGCAGAATTGCAGAGACATGCAACGCCTGAGAGCGGGAGCTCAGGAGCCCTCCCCCATGTGTGCAGGTGGCCCTCGGTGACTCAGCCCAAACCCCAGCCATGCACATTAGGCAGCTGAGGGTTAAAAAAAAAGTTTTTGATGCACAGATGGCTGCGGTTTGCGTAGAGGAGTAGGGGTTGGGGCAAATGCAGCCTGCCTTGTCTTGCTCCAGGCCCTGTCAAGGGGTTGGCCCTGACCTGGGAGGAGGGGGTGGCACTGAGGCACGGAGGCTGGTGGCCGGGCTGCAAAGGAGTAAGCTTTCCCCTTGGTGGTCTGTCCACTGCCCTAGCTGTGTCCTCCCCGCCGGCTCCTCCTCTCCTCTTGTTCAGGGAGTTCTCTCCTCCTCTGTCTCCCCTCACTGCAGGCTGTGTCCTGTTACCCTCTGGGATCTCTGCTGTCCAGTGATGACCCAGAGATGGGCTTAGAATGTCAGGAGAGCAGGGATGCACTGCCAGGGTCTTCTGAGCCTGCCCCCACAACCAACCCACCACCTCTAGGCAAGTCTCCTCTGCATGCAGTTGTGTGGTTCTCTGCAGAACGAGGGCTTGGCCTGAATGAACTTGAGGCCCCTTTTCCAGTCATAACAGGCACAGTTTGAAGTAGAGCGAAGTTAGGGACCCGCTGATGCGGGTGAGTGGAGGGTGTATTAGAGAGGATGAGGAGGAAAGGTATCTCTGAGGAGGTGACGTGTGAGCAGAATTGCGGCAGGTACCATCGCTGAGCTGATCTTGGAGAGGACAGTCCAGGCATGGAAACAGCCGTGCAGAGGCCCTGAGGCACTGTCCAGGGATTGGGAAGACGGCCTGTGTGACTGGGGCAGGTGGGAACAGGTCCAGGGAGGGCAGGGCTCCAGGCAAGAGGGTCAGGTCTGGGCTTGGGCTCCAGTGCCAGGACTAGGGACGGAGAGAAGGGGTTCAATAGGGGTGTGTGTTACAGGGAGGAGTGATGGTACTTGCCCATGACAACTGTGGAGTGTAGAGGGGGAAAGTGTGCCTGGGGTAATTAATAGCTTTTGTCCTGAAGTCTTGTGTCTGTAATAAGGACTTCAGAGAGGCTGTGTGGCCAAGTGTCCTTGCCAAGCCTTAGGCTGGTTGTCAAATGTCTAGAAAGACCCTTGTCTTGTCCTTCTATTTATTTATTTATTTATTTATTTATTTATAAAGACGGGGTTTCACCATGTTGGTCAGGCTGGTCTTGAACTTCTGACCTCAGGTGATCCGCCCGCCTCGGCCTCCAAAGTGCTTGGATTACAGGCGTGAACCACTATACCCGGCCAGGCCCTTGTCCTTCTCTAAGCCGGGTTTATCACTATCCCGATCCCCAACAAAAACATCTACACGCACATACAAAAATGCACCAGGCCTCATCCCATTGCAGGGAGTTCCATGTCAGGTGGCCCATCCTGCTCACCACACCGTGCCAGCCTTGATTCCCCAACACTCCTGGACCCTGCAGCACCCCAGCCCACTACACCTCAGGGGCCCTGGTAGCTGCAGGCAGTCGGGTTCAGCTCTGGCTCCGCTGCTGCTCAGCTGTATGATCAAGGCCTGGCTGCTGGGAGCCTTGGGGTCCTCGTCTCTCACCTGCTGGCCTCAGGATTCCTGGCTCAACTTGGTGCTGGGTAGAAGCCCTGACCACTCAGTTAGGAACTGGGCAGGTGTCCACCAAGCAGTGGCCATTACAAAGTCCCAGCGGGGGCTGGGTGGGTGAGGAGGGTGCCAGCCCCCCATTTCCCCTCTACTCCCCATCCCTGCTGCCATCACCCAGCCAGATCCAGAGGATTGGCCCATCACTCCCATTCTCTGAGCCAGGTGGGAATAAAACCCCAAACCCTGGCCGGGTGCAGTGGCTCACGCCTGTAATCCCAGCATTCTGGGAGGCCGAGGCGGGCGGATCACCTGAGGTCGGGAGTTTAAGACCAGCCTGACCAACATGGTGAAACCCTGTCTAAAAAAAAAAAACCCAAACCCTTTCCCCAGGTGAGGGGATGTGGATAAGTAAAGTAGCCCAGGACGGCGCTGAGCACAGAGCCCAGCCCTCGAAGCAGTAGCACTGATTCCTCCCGAGAGGGAGGCCTGCCCCAGGAGCTCAGGGAAGCAGAGAGCCCAGCAGTGCTGCGCAGCCCTGAGGCAGGACAGGCTGGGGTTTCCTGGGAAGGCTGGGGAACCTGAAGTGAGGCGTGAGAAGTAGATGCTGCCCTTCTCACCTCCGAAGTTCTTTCTAGAGGGCTCGGGTAGGACCCAAAAGCAGTGCTGCCCCGGGGAGCAAATCCCAGGCCATGAATAGAACCCTGCGGGCGCAAGGCTTCGCCGCCCTGAACACAGTCCTGTGGGATGAGGAGGCCGGTGCCTGGTTCGACTACGACCTTGAGAACAAGAAGAAGAACGGGGAGTTTTACCCATCCAACCTCACTCCACTCTGGGCCGGGTGTTTCCCTGACCCTGGCGTGGCGGACAAGGCTCTGAAATACCTGGAGGTGAGGGCACAGCAGGTGGCTCTGACCCACTACAGGCAGCACCGCCCCCTCCTGACCCTGAGCAGGATCTGCAGGGGAGGCCGCTTGTAGTTGTGTCTCTTGTCCCAGCCTGCGGGTCCCGCCGTAGTCACCGGGGGGCAGCTGTGAGAAGGGCCAGGAAGGGGACATCTGGCTTCCTGCGGGGCCCAGGGTCCTGCTCCCAATCCAGCCCCACCCACAGTCATGGGAATGTCTGGAACCTTCTAGGACAGCCGGATCTTTATCTATCAATATGTCCCAGAACTGGATCCGAACCAACTTTGATGTCTACTCGCAAAAGTCAGCCATGTATGAGAAGATGAGCTGGTGCAAGCCTTCCCTGCGCCCCCCAAGAGGTCCCCGTGGTGAGGTGGGAGGGTCAGGCTTGGCAGGGCCCAGGGCCTGCGCAGCTGGGATGGTGGCGGCGCCCAGTGGCCACTCCCGGGCACTGCAGGGGCTGCTGGGCGGGCAGGCAGGGCAGCCTCTCCCAGGGGCTCTGGTTTATTATCCCTGGGGCTGGGGTGGTGGGGACAGTGCCTGACCTACAGAACACTCTCTTGTCCCCAGTATGACATCAGCAACGGTGAACAGCCCGGTGGGGGAGGGGAGTATGAAGTTCAGGTGAGCAGGCCTGGGATGGACTGGCCAACGCCCTACAGGGAACTCCTGGGCTCTGCTGCCCACGCCCCTGGCCCCACGCCCCAGTGTGCTCACCTGCATGTGGGCCAGGGGAGGAGCTGACTGGGGCTCCCTGGTGCCTCTGGGGCTAGGCAGGGCCAGTGTCCCTGGGGAGAGCGCCCACAGCCCCCACCAAGGGTTTGGGGCTTCCCCAGAGACTTGACCCCACTGCCCTGCCTTTCTCGGGAGGGCTTTGGCTGGACCAATGGCGTGGTCCTGATGCTGCTGGACCGCTTCGGTGACCGGCTGACCTCAGGGGCCCAGCTGGCTTTCCTGGAGCCCCACTGCCTGGCAGCTGTCCTTTTGCCCAGCTTCCTGCTCAGCCTCCTGCCACGGTGACAGCCCTCCTCACCTGACGCCAGCACCTGCCCCATTAAACCTCTGCACCAGTTCCTGCCTTCTCCTGCCTCTTCATGCCCTCCTGCCTCCTGGGATGGTGGCGGCGCCCAGTGGCCACTCCCGGGCACTGCAGGGGCTGCTGGGCAGGCAGGGCAGCCTCTCCCAGGGGCTCTGGTTTATTGTCCCTGGGGCTGGGGTGGTGGGGACAGTGCAGGGTCATGACCTGTAGGTCATGGGTTGGGGTCTACCTCCCTACTGGAACCTTGAATAGGGTGGCAATCCTGCTCTGGGGAAGACCTAGCCCTCCTGCTCCAGGTGCCCCAGTGCCATGCCCCATACCTCTGACCTTCCACACACTTCCGTAGTCCAAAGGCTTTATTGTTCTACTGAAATGCTTACAAATAATGAAAAACCCCAGCCTGGGCCCAGGCAACCAAGGGCTCAGTGCTGGGAAATAGAGCAGGGGAAGTGAGGTTCAATAAATATGTATAATTTATTTCTGCCCCTGATACTATTCCTTCAAAGGAGTCTGAATTTGAATGATTGTCTCTAGATCTATTGATCCCCGAGGGCATCATTAAAACAATTGTAAAGTCAGCTGGCAATTAGTGGAGTTTAACAGCTGGGTGTCCTCAGGGACAGAGAGGAAGGGAGCCCTGCCAAGACCACTGTCACCCCAGAGTGGCTGTAGCCATCCCCAAAGCTGTGTCTCCCTGAGGAGCAACCTCATGGCCTTAACACAGAAGGCAGGAAATAGACCAGGAACACAATTCAGCGTTCACTCCCTAAACACACAAGTGAACAGTAATAGCACACTCTGGATAGAGTGGGGTGAGGCAGCCAGAATCCAGCATTGCTACAATATGCTATCCAAAATTTTTGTTTTCCTACAAAAAATTATGAGACACACACAAAAAACAGGAAAGTATCTCTCTCTCTCTCACACACACACACACACACACACACACACACACACGCAGGCAAAAGAAATTGTCTGTTAGAGTGACCCCTATCTACTAAAGAAAGAATAGCAATAAACAGATGGAAAGTATTAAAAAGGGCCAGCAGGTGCGGTGGCTCACCCCTGTGAGCCCAACATTTGGGAGGCTGAGGTGGGAGGATCACTCGAGCTCAGGAGTTCAAAACCAGCCAGGGCAACATAGTGAGACCCTGTCTCTACAAAAATAAAAAATTAGCCAGGTGTGATGGTGCACACCTGTAGTCCCAGCTACTCAGGATGCTGAGGTGATAAGATTGCTTAACCTCAGGAGGCGGAGGCTGCAGTGACTGTAATTGTGCCACTGCATTCCAGCCTGGGTAACAGAGCAGGACCTCGTCTCAAAAATGATAATAAAATAATAAAAATTAAGAAAGGGCTGGGTGTGGTGGTTCACACCTGTGATCCAGTGGTTTGAGAGGACAAGGCAGGAGGATCACTTGAGGACATGATTTCAGGGCCAGCCTGGGCAGCATAGTGAGACTCTGTCTCCACACACACACAAAATTTTAATTATCTAGGCATTATGGTACATGCCTGTAGTCCCAGCTACTTGGGAGGACAAGGTGGAAGGATTGTTTGAGTCCAGAAGTTCAAAGTTGCAATGAGCTGTGATTGAGCCACTGCACTCCTGCATGGGTGACAGAGCAAAACCCAGTCTCTAGAAAATAAAAGAAAAAGATAATCCAAAAAGAACCGCTGGGTGCAGTGGCTCATGCTGTAATCCCGACGTTTTGGGAAGCCAAGGTGGGAGGATCACCTGAAGTCAGGGGTTCGAGACCAGCCTGGCCAACGTGGTGAAACCCTGTCTCTACTAAAAATACAAAAATCATCCGAGGTGGTGGCGCATGCCTGTAATCCCAGTTCCTGGGGAGGCTGAGGCAGGAGAATCGCTTGAATCTGGGAGGCAGAGGTAGCCGTGAGCTGAAATCTCACCATTGCTCTCCAGCCTGGGCAACAGAGCAAGACTCTGTCTCAAAAGAAAAAAAAAAAAAGAACTAAATGGGGTTTCTTGTTTCTGGCCTAGCATGTAAAGAGTGTGGAAATTGTCACTCCATCTTAACAAGTAAAAAGCCAAATAAACAAAACCAACAACTCTTCTTAGATCTGTCAGAGAATTAAGGTCACAGAGCAAACTGCTGCCTCCAAAACTAGAGACACAGGCACAGACGGGCAGATACAGAGGGTCACAACTCACCGGAGTAGACTCCTCCACACTGGGTCTCTTTTACCCAGTATTGGTCTGGTTTCAAGAGAAAACTAGAAGTCATAAGAAAAGGCAATGAAATACCATTTGAAGAGACAGAGCAAGTATCAGAATCAGATTCAACTATAGCGGGGATGTTGGAATTATCAGGCCGGAAATTTGACTAACATGCCAAGGTCGCTCATGGAAAAAGTAGACAGCATGCAAGAACAGATAGGTAATTTAAACAGAGCAATGAAAGTTCTAAGAAAAAAAAAAGAGGAAATGCAATGAGAAAAAAACATTAACCAAATGCTTTTGATCAGCTCTTTAGTAGACTGGACACAGCTGAGGAAAGAATCCATGAATTTGAGGATATGTCAGATAGAAACTTCCAAAAATCCAAAGCAAAGAGAGAAAAAACGGGAAACAGACAGAACAGAATATCCAAAAACTGAATAATGGCAAAAGGCATCACATATGCATTCTGGGAATATTGAAGAAGACAGGGAACTGAAGAGATATTTGAAACAATAATGACAGAATTTTCCCAAACTTATGTCAGACACCGAACCACAGATCTGGGAAGCTCAGAAAATTCTAAGGAAGACAGATGCCCCCCAAAAAGAAAAAAAAATCAACACCTAGGCATGTTTTATTCAAATTGCAGAAATTCAAAGATAAAAAATCTTGAAAGAGGCCAGAGGAGTAAAAATACCTTACCTAGAGAGGACGGAAGATAAAAATGACATCAGACTCCTTAGAAACCATGCAAAGGAAGAGGAGAGCCATGTGAAATATTTAAAGCATTGACAGAGAAAAAAACTCCACTAACCTAGAATCCCTAGAATCTGTATCCTGCAAAAACATTCTTCAAAAGTGATGGAGAGGCCAGCACAGTGGCTCGCGCCTGTAATCCCAGCACTTTGGGAGGCCGAGGCAGGCAGATTGCTTTGAGCTCAGGAGTTTGAGACCAGCCTGGGCAACATGATGAAACCTCATCTCTACAAAAAAATATAAATGTTAATGGTGGCATGCACCTGTGGTCTCAGCTACTTGGGAGGCTAAGGCTGGAGGATCACTGGAACCTGAGAGGCAGAGGTTGCAATGAGCCGAGATCACACCACTGCACTCCAGCCTGGGCAACAGAGCAAGACTCTGCCTCAAAATAAAAAATAAAAATAAAATAAAAAGTGATGGAGAAATGAGAATTTTTACAAGCCAGCAAAAATTGAGAGAATCTGTCTTGCAAGAAGTATTAAAAAAAAAAAAACTTGGCCAGGCATGGTGGCTCACGCTTGTAATCCAAGCACTTTGGAGGCCAAGGTGGGCGAATCACCAGAGTTCGGGAGTTCAAGAACAGCCTAAGCAACATGGTGAAACCCATCTTAAAAAAAAAAAAAACTTCTCCAGAGAAAATAATGATATAAGTTAGAAACTCTGAACTACATAGACAAGGAAGAGCATGCAAGAAGGAATAAGTGGCCAGGTATGCATGGTGGCTCATGCCTGTAATCCCAGCACTTTGGGAAGCTGAGGCGGGTGGATACCTGAGGTCTGGAGTTTGAGACCAGCCTAACCAATGTGGAGAAACTCCAGCTCTACTAAAAATATAAAATTAGCTGGGCATGGTGGCATATACCTGTAATCCCAGCTGAGGATTACAGGAGGCTGAGGCAGGAGAATTGCTAGAACCCAGGAGGCAGAGGTTGCAGTGAGCTGAGATCATGCCATTGGACTCCAGCCTGGGCAACAAGAGCAAAATTCCGTCTCCAAAAAAAAAGTTTTTACTTTTCTTATCTTTAATTAATCTAATAGATAATGGTTTGTTCAAAATAAAACAGGGTGAGTATTCCTTATCTGAAATACCAGAAACATTTTGGATTTTGGATTTTTTTTTGAATTTTGAAATATTTGCAATGTACTCGCTGGTTCAGAATCCCGAATCTGATCATCCAAAATCTGAGATGCTTCAGTGAACGATTCCTCCGTCGTTATGTCTGTATTCAAAGCGCTTTAGATTTTGGAGCATTTTCAGATTTTGGGTTATCAGATTTGGGGTGCTCAATCTGTAAAGTAACTATGTATTCAATCATTACAGTTTATGGGATTTGTTTGTTTGTTTTTGTTTTTGAGACAGAGTCTCACTCTGGCGGCCAGGCTGGAGTACAGTGGCATGATCTCGGCTCACTGCGACCTCCACCTCCCGGGTTCAAGAGGTTCTCTTGCCTCAGCCTCCTGAGTAGCTGAGATTACAAGTGTGCACCACCACAGTCAGCTATTTTTTTATTTTTGTATTTTTAGTAGAGACGGGGTTTCATCATTTTGGTCAGGTGGGTCTCAAACTCCTGACCTCATGATCCTCCCACCTCGGCCTCCCAAAGTACTGGAATTATAGGCATGACCCACCTTGACCTAGCCAGTTATAGTTTACGGATGAGGGAACTGGACAACGGCAAAGATACAAGGAACAGGAGGGAGAAGTGAAGACTACTTTGTTACCATAAGGTATTTGCACTACCCATGAAATGTAGTGTTATTTGAGTAGACTCGGTTAGTTGTAAATGTATAAAATGCATAAAAAAGAACTACTGGCCAGGCATGGTGGCTCACACCTATAATCCCAGCACTTTTGGAGGCCAAGGTGGGAGGATTGATTGAGGCCAGGAGTTGAGACCAGCCTGGGCAACATAGTGAGGAGTTTCCCTAGAACAAAGCCAGTCTGCATAATGAGCAGAAGATCTGAATCACTATAAACAATGCTCAAAAGAAGACATGCAAATGGCAAACAGGTACATGAAAAAGTGCGCAACATCACTGATCATCAGAGAAATGCAAATCAAAACTACAATTAGATATCTCACCCCAGTTAAAATGGCTTTTCCCCAAAAGACAGGCAATAACAAATGCTGGTGAGGACGTGGAGAAAAAGAACCCTCGTGTACTGTTGGTAGGAATGTAAATTAGTACAATCACTATAAAGTTGCATGTGTGTGTGTTTTTGTTTTTGTTTTTAAGACGAGGTTTCACCATGATGGTCAGGCTGGTCTTGAACTCCCAACCTCAGGTGATCCACCCGCCTTGGCCTCCAGTGCTTGGATTACAGGCGTGAGCCACCAAGCCCAGCGTGGATGTGTTTTTTTAAAGAACATTGGCTGGGCGTGGTGGCTCATGCCTGTAATCCTAGCACTTTGGGAGGCAAAGGTGGGTAGATTGCTTGAGCTCAGGAG